AATTAATTCACTTACGCCTGCTTCCCTTGGACCTGTACTCCTAATTAAACGAAAAAGATTGTGACTATTACCGATAACCGCAGCCTTCTCCATCTCTCTACACTTTCCTACCCACCACTTCTCGCGGTCATTTTTCACACTCTTGATGAGCTGGCGTCTAAAAGATTTGCGCGCCTTGTCGTAGTCTGAATCCGAAGGAATGGCTTTGCGAGCGTCCAGCAGGGTAACGAAAACGGGGAGATCCATCGTTTTTGCTTTGATCGTGAGTCAGAATTTGCTGTTGTTTCGATTGACATTTTGATCGCTTCCTTCATTGTCGTCCAGTGCTCACTGAGTCCTTCGGCTGATGGTTCTGCCGAGAGACGATCTGATAGTTCCGCTTCGAAGGCCGATTTGCAACTGTCGGTGATAGTGTATTGTGGGCATCCGTTTTCGGCGGCTTTTCTGCTGTTGTTTACTAGGCGTAGAGAGAATCTCGCTCGTAGCAGAGCATGGTCCGTGCCCACGGCTGTTGACCAGTAGGAGCGGCAGTTTTCAATGGATCCTCGCCAGCGGTGGTTGATGGCAATGAGTCAAGGGCTGTGAAACGGTTGGCGGTTTCCATGTAAGACGGTGGCATTTTTGTGCGAGAAGTTCGTGTTCGACAGAAACAGTCCAGGGTCAGCACAAAATTGGAGTAGGNTGGGATTGCATGCGAACCGCCAAGTAACCTCTGATTCGCCCAGGGATCCCACTTGAGCATTGAAGTCCCCAGCGACCACCATGATGTCCGTTGACCGAGCACTTCGGAGCAGTTGAGAGAGGTCTTTGTAGGAGTCATCCTTCACTTCTGGCGAACTGCAATCTGTCGATGCATACGCGGATACGAATAAACATCGACGTTTCTGAACTACCCAGACGTACGGCGCAAAGTCGGCTGTTAACCGGGATCCAATCGAGAAGTGAACGCTCGGCCTTGACACTGTGCAATCCCAACGCCAGTAAAACCGCGAGCTTCGGATGCAGAATCGTCTGACACACGGAGAGTGAAGCGTGAGGATGAGGTTGGATCTGGAGAATGGAAGGAGATGATTGAAGTAGGGTCTTGTATGCGTGTTTCAGAGACACAGCATACATCTAAATGGAAGGTTTCAAGAGTTCTAGCCAAAGCAGCTTGACCAATCTGATAGAGTGTGCGGACATTAAATGTGGATAAGTGGAAGGGAGATTTTGGTTTCAAAAATCTGATAGCCTCTGAGTGGTTGACCTCATTAGTTGAACACTGAGCGGTATCTAATGGATGGCCCAAACAGGATGCATCTCTTAAGGTATGGGAATGAGAACGCTGTGCGATACGATGAGACAGAAAGAGAGAGAGACTGGTTTTAGAACACAAAACTGACGGTGCTGAGCCTTCAAGGCGGTTAGTTATGAGAAGCGGCAACCTAAATCCCGGACTACATGAGACCCCTCCCGAGTATATACTATTCAACCGGGTCACAGTGATGGTATGCACCGTTCGATTAGGGAGTGAAAGATTCTCTTCCCTATAGGGGAACATCATAAGACATTTAATCGGAATTGTGAAAAGTGACTAACCACGTGAATTCACATTCATCTTTCATGCCGTGTTTCGGTAGATGGAGGAGACAATTCAAACTAGCTCGGCTATACGACACGAGTGATAGCACAAAATTCCTCCCCCGATCACGGCTGATCAAAGTTAACCTAAATGCTCGACAAGTGCGCAACCCGATTGAGGCTTTGGATCGATTCCAGCAAAGGCATCAAGTTACCAAAACCGACCGATCGCATGCATGCATACATGCACGACCGAGAACCGTTGTGTGTCATGATCATCATGTTTCACGGAGAACGACCAATGAATCAACTGTTTCATATTTAACTCATAATGATTTGTTCTTTTGATTCGCCGTAGTTGTTTGTGTTTCCATGTCATTCTCTGCTCAACTCCAATCCCACCACTTCATGTCATTGTTACTGCTATTGCTTTGGCACTAGGCATGTTCACAAGTTGGCGGTATATATATATGCTTTTTAATGATAGTAATACGTAATCTATTGCATTTGGTTCCAAGGAATCCACATTATTTCGAGGGAACCTCTGTTGCAACGGAATTTACTCACTAGGCGATTGAGGGCCTGGACTGAATCCACTCAAGCAATGATTCATTCCAACAACTACACTCGAGAATGGTGACCGATTTATCGATCTATGTTGACGTGATTCGCTTCCTAACTCGACCGACCGAGGTCAATTACCACCTTGATTCTCTCATTCGACCAACGGTCAAGGACAACGTTTACGAGTGGAGCGGAAGAACCGACCGTTAAAACTCAGTCCATTCCCACCGAAACTTTCATGCTCGCTCGGTGACTCACACAAGTATTTTTATTTGTTTATGGAGAAATAACTTCATTCCGACTGGACGGGATTTCGATAAACCTGGTCCAATCAGTGACGCGTGATAGCCGAAGCACCAATCATCTTGTGGGGTTCCCACGTGGAATGCGATTGGTTGGATTCACATGAAGTTGAAAAGT